TGCTCAAGTCTGATGTTTACCTTCTTTTCCTCTTTTTTAGGAATCATCCCAGAAGATCTGCATACAATATTTAACTATGCAGTTACAATCTACTTTTCTTCTCTTTTTTTACAATTTAGTAATCATTAAATTTCAAAGATGTTACAGTTCAGATTTTTCTACCATCAAAAATAATACGGTTAGAAACTATAATTACTCTAGGTGACACATTCCTCTTGTAGATAGTCCTCTGTATTTGTTAGTAAGACCAAGCTGAGTCCAACATAAAACTGTATGCACAAACACAATTTAAGCTTAGATGAAGAGTCCCCTATTCTCATAACAGAAACACCTCATCTTCATCACTTTTTTCATGATGCTTAGGAAAGAAATTGTGATTCTTCTGAACTAAATGCAGACTTCCACAAAGATGTTAAAAGCTGCCACATGAGAAGCTCTGAAATCGGATCTGATTAATTTTTGATTCACAATTTAGAACTAATAAAAAACTAGTATCCCTAAGGCCAGATTGTACATGCTGACTACATTGTGACTACTGTAATAAGAATTCTTCACCTACATGAGTGGTGTTCAAATCCTGTAGTTAAAAGATGCTACTTAAAAATTTTCCAAAATATGTTGTCCACATCTACAACGTAAATTGAGAATATTTTCCTGATTTATTTGGTTCTTTCATAGGCTTTACCATCTCTTTGGAGTTCATTTCAGTAACAGAAGAATTTAAGCTTCACTTTTAGCATTAGGAGGCACACTCTGAAATAACAGCTATTTCATTTAAAGCAATCTTCATCCAACCACCAACCAAGAGCCAACCACCCTATGCATCCTGCGACAGGACAATTGCACCTCAGCCATTTTATTGTAGCAACATAGGTTTGACCTACTAGTTCTGCTTCTAACTGTTGGCAGTTAGCTCTGCAGGAAAATTCTGCATCCTTAGCTTTGCATCCCACAATAAATGCACTAGCTCACCAGATAATGCTGGATGTAAAAGGAAGAGAGTCCTTCTAAAACCCTGCAACAAGTCCTTGTATTTGGAGTTGGAAGAATGGATTGCTATTTTATCTTGCACAGGTAGAAAAGCTTACAAAGATCTGTAAAAATTATCCATGTCACAGTCAATAATTATGCATCTTCCGTTATTTTCTCACACTTGCCACCTCCTTTTACTTCTACCAATTTCTACTTCCCTTCTTTAAATTTTTGCTAACTTCATTATACTCCCCATAAAGCAAGGAAAAATGGCAAACCACTCCAAGGCTCTAACTCCAAAAAGCCATTAAGGAAGTCACTTAGCACCAGCACAAACTACTCCACCTGTAACTGAGCTCAGCCTGCTGCCCAGGATCTGAGACATCGGCTTGGGTGTGCACTCATAACCATGGATGGCATCTTCAGTGCAGACAAAACTTCATTGAGCTGCATGGCACAGTGAAGATGCCACAGGTCTCCCCACCTCCTCTATATCCTGTTCAGATAACAGTGACAGCACTCATACTTCTATCCATCCACCACACTCTTGCAGACATACCTAATGTATACAGAGGGCAGAGGACACATTTGGCATCCAACCTACAGTCCACTTGGCCCATAGCCTACTATTGCTGCCTAGTGAAGTTTCATCGGAAAAATACTGACAGTTAATAGAGTTGAGATACCCAGTTCAGTTTCACTTGTTTCTCTGTAAAGCATCCCTGCATTAACCTATGCCACTAACTGTATACACTGTGCCGGTATCTTAATTAAAGTTTCAAATATTTAAGTGCTTCGCAAGATAAAGAAGTAAATTGTTCAATATGATGGTACATATTCTTTCACTATTTGCCTTCTTTCTTCACAAGTTTCATTTTTATTTTCTTAGATTTTACTAATATATTAATCAGACTTCTTTGCTTCTTAAAGATTCTCAAGGCTTTTGTAATATCTGAATATGTGTAAAGATTTTCATATTTTCCAACAATGTACATTTGCAGAATTTAAAAGATGTCACTTGAGCCAATGTCTCAAGATTACTGGAGCTGCAGTTTCAACAGCCAGCACAACTTGATGCCATCAGCAGACTGCATAAAGTCTATTTCCCAGGCTGGAGCACAATGCAGGGTTCAGCCTGAACAGTCTTATTTCCATCACACGGAAAGCAATTCCTGACGCATAAGTCGGAGGACAGCCAGGGCACCTGGGCTCTCCCTTGACTGGGGTCAAGACACTGAACTAGCCCTCCACAGGCCACCAGTTTTGCAAAGCCAATATTAACTATTCAGTGGGTTGTGTAACTACTCTTGTATTCACAAGTATTTCTATTTATTCTCCCTTTCACCCTTTTTACAGGGACCTTATACAAAACCAAAAACTAAGTGGTATTTGATATTGATCACACTAATCCAGCAATGTATTTGCTACTTCAGATGGGAGGGAATTAAATTTTCCCCCTTAAAATCACATACTGAGTGTCATTTTATTTGTTACATTTATTCAACAATTATCCTGGTGTATCTTTTTATTAGACCATCAGCCATTCCTGTTGAAATAAAAATCAGTGTCTGTTCTTTTAGGATCTTACCTTTTCCACAACAAACATTAATTAGTTATTGTACAAGTTTCAGAAGAGTAGCTGGTTTTAAAGAATTATATTCAAGACCTATAAGCTTTTTAGTATTGCAGGTTAGGCTAGAAGATAGATCATTATTATGTTCAATGTTTCATACTTCATATGTCTCAGATCTTTTATTAAAAAAAGAAAAAAAAAAGAAGAGTAATTTCAACATCTGACTTTCTCCCATTGTTCCATAATTTTGTTCTCAGAGATGACATTTGCCAAAGCCATACTGCAAGATGTCCTTAAAAACATAATTAGGAGTCAGGCTTTCAGTACCTGTCATCACACATTAGCTACCTGGCTCAATTTTTTGGTTAAGAATGCTTTCTGTCTCTGGAGGTATTTATCCCAAACTCATTACCATGAGATTCTGATTGGAGCCTTTGTGCTTCTGAAGCAGCTGAAGTACTTTTAATCATAAAAACCAATAAAAGACATGAAGGTGAGTCTCACCCAACATTTTACAACTCTAATTTTCAATGGAATCTTTTTTCACTTGTGAAAAAGTAAAGCCATGTGTGAAAATGGTATGTATTCATCAGTACTTTAGTTTTTCACTAAAGCAACGGAAGTAACTGCCATAAATAATTTTACATCTGACTCCAAATGGCGCTGTCATAAGCAAAATGACAAATACATTTTAGAATTTCAGCTTCTGTGTGGTTCATTCACAGGCATATAGAATAACAGTTGCAATAATCAGGAGTCTCTTTTTTCTGATTTTATTTTTACTTTTTTTTCATCATAATAAAATCATAAGTCTACCCACAGCTATTCAAAGTAACAGTCCAGATGCTGCTATTATTTGCACTAGCGTAAACGTAATAGCAGTGTGAAACCCATAGATGATTAGTATCAACACTACTACTAATGCACTTCTACAGGGCTTTGAAAGTCCTAGATTTCTGTTACTGTAAGGTTTTTTTCAAAACGAAATGCTGAAAAGTGCTGAACAACTTGAGTGAATAAATGGATTTGATACCTGCATCTTCAGGTATTTGCTTCTTCTTTCTAAACTGTGCCTGGGAAGAAGGAAAGCTTTATAACAGGGTTCTGACCCCATTCTGTACACCTCTGTGGCAATATATACTGCTTGTGCTCCTTACTCCCTAATGAATTTGTGACCACGTTTTATTCTCTCTGACACCAAAATCCAGCTCACAAAGAGGAGCAAGGCAAATACCCCAGAAGATGGCAGATTTGAGCTTAGCCAACAGCCTTCACAAAAGCCTTCTGAGTCATTCCTCTGCTTTCAGCTTGTACCCTTCCAACTACATTGCACACTCTGTATTTAAGGCGATAAGCATTTGCCACCATGAGCAAAATATACTGGAAGTTTTTCTCAATGAAGGTCAATGACCTGAAACCTGATAGATGGAATTCTTAATTTTGGATTTTTCATTTGGAAAAAATTCCTAATCATTACAAAAATGCATTGATTGATTCTACTCTTTGGACACAAAATACATAAAAATTATACAAAAACACCTGTTCAAAAGGGGCAACTATTTGCTACCACTGGTTTTCAATCATAATCCCAATATGCCTGTTTTAACAGAGGTAGATATTGGAGCTGCATTACTTACAAACAATGGCCAAAATTCAGAAACTCATATGTATCTTACTGTTATATACAGTATATATGATGCTCATTCTGCCCTTCTCATTCAGAGGAACATTTAAACAGGAGTTGATACAAATAAAAGTGGCAGAGTTCGGAGCTTTTTTACTTCTAATTTACTGTAGATATACATACATTTCCCAGATATTATAATACATTGCTTTACTCCCTGCCTAACTTTGACCAAATGGTGCAATACAGAAAAATTAAAACCAGACATGAAGTACAGTTAATAAATATATGCTTAATACACATGGAGTAACAATTGCTGCATTGTATCAATGGCAACAAAAACTCTTACAGTGAAAACTACACTACTTAAATCCACTTAAAACAATGGAATGCTATGGATAGTATATTATTAGACTTACAAAAAATGGAGTAGAAAACTATGTTCAAGCAAAACGTTTTGGAAGATTAGACACCATAATGTTTCTTTGTTTCTCAGTAACTTAATTTTAAGCAACGAAAGTTAGAACTGAAGATTCATTATTAGTACTGGTCCAATTACACATGTCCAAAGATAATTGAGATGATGTGATACCTTAACATGTGATGAAAGACTTCACTGAGATTTTGAAGATGTGAATTATGTCAGGGTGGAATTTGTTTCTCTGTATTTCATTACACAGCTGCTAAATTTTACCTAAAGTAGAAAACCCTTCATTCCATTACCATGTGAATGGTATAAGTATATATACTCTACAAGCCAGCAAATAATTTCTGAGATTAATTGCAGCAAACTTAATCTCATCTCCAGTGAATAAATTCAGAAACACTCACCATGATTCCAGTGAGTAAACAGACTCCTTTCCCACAGTATGTATTTGGTACCATGTCACCATATCCAATAGATAGAAAAGTTATTGAAATCAACCACATTGCTCCAAGGAAGTTGCTAGTAACATCCTGTTGATCATGGTACCTGAAAAGAAAAACAGTTTCATTATCATGTAAACTTCTGTTAAACTCTTGTGCTGTCAGAAAGAAATAGCATTAACAGGTCATCCAATCGCTCTTGTATTCTACAATTATTTCCTTCTTAAAATAAGCTATAAGGAGTTAAATAAAAAAATACAATTACATCAGCAGTAAAGAAACAGAAGATACAATAGCACCAGTAGTAGAGATACTCAGGATAGTTTACAATTCAGTATTCTGTTATTATTACGAAAATGGCAGAAACCTCTTGTTTTTTAATAGAATCTCATGAGGGGTAAAAGTCCTGCTAATCCTTTGCAGTGGCATAAGACATAAGTCTACTATAGTTGCTGCAGTTTGAGACAAATATGAAAGTCAGGAAAGGATGTGTGGGCAAGCAGACAGCAGAGCGTATATCCATCTCTTTGGCCTAAATACAAGTCTGTGATTGGAAATCTAATAATGAACTATCATGTAAGTACTGACTTAACCTAAGATCTTCCCTTTCCTTCAACATTTCAAGATAAATAGAAAAGTACGCCATTGCACTTTTCATCATCTAAAGACCTCTACATTAAATATAGCAAAACCTCCCTTTTGTGTTAAGTCAGATATTACGTGTAATTTCCTGATGTGCCATTTGTGGTCTTAGTCTTAAAATTCTAGTGGAATATGTTTCTTTTCTCCTTTGAAGAAAACAGTTCAGATGAATAATCTAGTCTTCACATGCCATACACACCTAATTAACTGGGAAGCCATAAGGACACATTTTAGGGCTAAAACCTGCTGTCACCACTCATTCTGTGGAGGAAAAATGCCTAACAGCCTAATGTAAGTGGAATTTCACTCCCTGGATGGAATAGCTCTGCAACAGCCTGTCTGTGGCAGCCACTGCAGCCTCAGAGTTGCAACAATAACCCCTGTAACTGCCGTGAAGCCTCGGGTTAGCTATCTATGCTGTTGTATCCTCAAGGGTGAAAGGGAATCAAAGACATCAAACAAATGAATTTCTGACAATTATTAAGACTAAACTGTGATGTGATGTGATGCATGAAAGCTTTGCTTGTGCTTTGCTTCGTTTGTTTCAAAGTTTTGCTTGTGTTTTTGCTTCATTTGTTTCTCAAGGATTTCTGACTCCTCAACTGTTTCCTTAGGTCTCTTTGTCTGTTTAGGTAAGATTGAAATGCTCATTAGGCTGCCCACATAAATCACTGATACCAGACTCAAGGCCTTCAGTGGACACTTGGGCAACTCCTAGAATGAGATAAGGGGGGGGTCTAACAAAGCGACACAGAGACACTATTATAGGGAAACTAATTTTGCTGATTTAGGAGGGAAACACCTGGACTTTACTTCACAGTACATGCTCTGGAAAGAGGGTCAACTAGCGAACACTGTGAAGAAGACTACTTACATCTTCCCTCGACCACCAAAGACCCTCACTCTATTTCTACTATACATGCTCGGACTATGTAAATGAATTCTGTGAACTCATTATCATAAGACACCCCTTTCTGAGAAATCTCATGAATATGCACATAAACTGATGTCCTTTGGGAGCCCTTATGGTGGAGAATCTCCAGGGTGACCCCAGTGCTGCCAATAAAAGAATGCCTGCTTAACAGTTATATTGGATTTTGACTGTTAATTTCTTTGTTTCAAGGGTATTATTTTAGCCAGTTCCTAAATCCATGTCTCACAGTGGGTCACTGAGGGCCATCAGAGAATTGTTTCATAAATCCCTAAGCAACCTGCTTTCTACAACTGAAATAATTACTTTAGTTCTCTCCCTTCTGGACCATCATCTCCATGACAGAGCAGAAATGCAGAGTGAGCACAAAGACACTCTCAGGAAATTCCCTATTCTCCCATATCCAAGATATTCTCTATAAATACCTGCAAAATACCTTCTTCAAAGTCCTGCCCTGTGTCCTGATGGTTATAACAATCTAAAAACTCTGACTCCTAGAGATAACAGCAATCACTCCAAACAAGTCTGTTCCACATTTTGCCTGTAGTCTTCTCTCTCCTGGTGTCAGGTTGTCTTTCTCATACACTTTATACAAGTTTTCCAAAGTTTTCTGTTCTGCACCTAGAACAATGCAGTAACAGCACACACGTGGAACTCGTAAGGATGACAGTCACACAAATAAGATAACCACAACAGCAACAACAGTAGTAAAAAAACGACAGCAAACTTGACTTGCTCATGTCTGCACAACAAGAGATCTGCCATTGTATTTTTTCAAGACTGCACTAAATGTTATGGATTTCAGTATCCACTTAACAAACTTATCGAAGAACAGCTGTGAAATATATGGATGCAGTGAAAAAGAAATGTTCATCCTGTCCAGGAGGCAAGAAGAAAGCCTATGTATCGTTCAAGTCCCTACAGAGTATCATGTAAGTGATATGACACAGGCTTTAGAGGAGCTTCACATAAAGGCTCTAAAGCCACAACACATATTCTAAGGCTAGCAACTCTGATAAATACCAATAAATGGTTACATAAATATTTATAATACATTTCTTTAATGCCCCTCTTGGGGCTGTGAACCTGGTCATTTCCATATTCAGACAGAAAACAGTTTTCCTATGAAGATGAAAATGTAATGCAGCGCTTTTGATTTTTTTTCTACATTTTGTCCTACTTACATGCTTACAAAATTTCAGGCCTAAGTGATGATAATTATTGAAATCTTGATATGACTGAAAACAAAACATTCACATACAACTCAGTAAGTTCCTGAAATAAATACCAGTTTCACTTGAATGCAAAAATCACTCACTTAAGCCTTGATGAATACAGAGAAAAGATGATGGAGTTTATCCATTTACCCTCCTTTACCCATGCCAGAAAACACACAAGCCAATCTACATATAGATCACGTAACAAAGGTAACATAAATTTTAAAAAGCATAACAGTAGTTTTTCAAGTATCACTGGAGACATGGATCTTAATTAGTAAGGTCCCCTAGATTAAATATTCATTAAAGCCATCGGCATTCATATTTAGTAGCACACTTCAGGGACCTGTTCGATCTTTTTATATTGTTAGCTCAGCACTCCTGGACTTCTACTCTGAACATTTCACCTGGTTGTGATTTTAAGGTTATAGTTCAGCAATCAAATGGTGCACACTTAATTTAAAAATCATCATCGATACTTACAACTTTGTTGTGACTAAGAAACAAAGGTTACTTTGTACCTTCTCTATGGACTCAACTGCTCAAGAATGGCAAAGCATGCAAATTACAACCTAATTTTATCTATAAATAAAACCAAAAGACCTTTTATTTCACAGCTGTGCAGGTCAAGATGAAGCAGTGACTTCTCAAGTTAAAAATCTGTAAGTAAAATAGACACAATCTAAAAGGGGGGAGGGGGAGCTGTGTGTGGGTGTGATGTTTCTGTCTTGAAAATCCCATCATTTCTATGCCAGATTTATAGGAAGGTGGATGGGTTTTGTCTTGTTCTTTTGCAACCTCACTCATGAATCTCTGTCATAAGTAATTCCTGGTACATGCCTACACCCTTCTGATCATAAGATTATACTTGCGCTGGCATATACTTCCAAGTGCTCTGATACGTCATTAGCCACCACCATTACTTGGGATTCAAGCCTGAACAAGCAAAGCCAGGGGAGTCTTTGGCTACCCTACATCCACAATCAGGTAGCAAATTATTACATCTATATCAAAACAGGGTAAGCAATTCTTAAAAAAAGAAAGAATTGCGATGTCTTTTTTGTACAGCCATGGGAATGGCTGAAAGTGAGCACTGAAGATATTTAAATTGCTTTGTTTTGAGGAGAGGTAAAGAAATCTACTCATTACCTTTTCACTTGCTGTCCTATTTATCATAGGCCTAAAAACTGAACTTCTCCATTTATGTAAGGAACAGTAAAATGAACACAGCATAAGTTAAACTTCCCATGTTTTTCCATTAGTGCACCTATTTAGAAGACCTGAGAAGAGTCACTCCCATCAATGTATTTTTCACTTTGCTTTTGAGACTACCCCAGCAGAGCGAATTGCAATGGACATTATAGTGAGATAAGCCATCCACATGAACATCTGGAGCAGAGATGTCTCGCTCAATGTCAGTTGTCATCAGCCACTACAAATATCTTCTCATTCCAGTGGGACTGTGAAAGACAGCTTGGATATAACACACTCCAGAACTCAACTGCAGTTTTCCTAAACTATCCATTCACTCTCCGAGAGCCCTGAAATCTGACAGGAAAACATTGCCCTATGAACAGCTTGGAAACCCAAAGCTCAGGAAGAAAAGAAAAATAAACTAAAGATTTCATTTCAGTAACAAGTTCCACACAAAGCAAAATACAGTTATTACCAACCAAATTCAAAACCGTTGTTTTCTAACATTAATCTTTAGTTTGAAAAAGATTTTTATTTTTTACAAAGATTTTGATTTTCAAAATTTTAATCACTACAAAAATATTTATTTAAATATTTAAACCCCACTATTCTTAGTCAATAAAAACTTTCACTAGAAACACAGTGAGCCACTTAAATAAGAGCTAGTGTTTAATTGTTAAAACTGCATCTATAAACAGGTTGATTTACTGGATCATTTCCAGCCTCACACAGCAGCAGAATAAAGGGTCATTTAGAAAAGCTGTGTATTCCTGCAAGGCAGGAAAATCCCTGGCTGAAGTCACACAGGTATAAGTATTATTTATCACTTTTTCTCTCCTTTACTAATAATAAATGTGCTAGCAGACAGGAGGTGCTGCAGCTGGAACAGGCTACTCACCAGGCAATCCTCATCCTGTGAAACACCACCATCCAGTTCTCACCAACCAGCATATATAAATCCTGAGACTACACCAATTTAAATGAAAAATAGCTGAATGATCAGATTTGTGCAAAAATAGCATGGCTCAATTCTTTCTGGGAGTGGGAGCTTTACCATTCATCTCTGGAAAAATAAATACATTTCTCAGCTGATGATACTGCACTGGCTTGGGTTGTCAAAGC